TCTTTTGGAAAAATTGTGTTGTCTGGTGATCCTTTCATCTCTTGCCTCTTCCCTTAATTTTCCTCATTGTTCATTCTTTTGGATGAAGTTTAACATTATCTGCCATTTAAGACAGTCAGGGAGGTTTTGGTTGAAAATGAGCTCAATCTGTTTATTTGTGTGGAACTGGCATGTTAGAAACCCCTGTGTGAAAACTGAAGTTTCAGTGGAGACCACTAGATATGACAGATGAGCCACTCCAAAAACAAATCAACGCATCTAGATGTTACAAAGGTGTTCTCAAAAACCAGCTCCATGATTATTAAATGCTTCAACTATCTCAAGGCTATAAAATGTAGATGGACGATTGGTGTGTGTGTGTGTGTGTGTGTGTGTGTGTGTGTGTGTGTGTGAGCACTTGTGTGCATGTGGGAAAGGAGAGTGCTATTTTGTGGTCTGTGGTTTTCTTTGAGGGAGACATGAAGCGTTATTCATAATATCCCCAAACTTGAAACAATCTATTTGTCCATCGATGGTGGAGTGGATAACTAAATTGTGGTTAATTCGCACAACGGAATGGTATGCAGGAATGAAAAAGTACAAGCTATTGCCGCACATAACACCATGGATGACTCTCCCAGACTATATTTAGTGAATAGAGCCAGATACCAAAAGAGTACATACTATATGGAGTCTATTTATATAAAGTTCAAAACCAGGTAAAATTAATTTATGGTGCTAGAAGTCAAAGTGGCAGAGGAGGTAGTGATGGAGAGACAGCACAAGGGAGCCTGCTGGGATTCTGAATTGTACTGTATCTTGATCTCTGTGGTGGTTACATGTACCTGCAACACACATGTACAGGTGTGTATAAGCAAGGGGAGAAGAGAATTTCAGGAAGAGAGGCTTGCTTATTATTTATTTATTTATTTATTTATTTATTTATTTATGTCCTCTAGGAATTTAACGGACCGATAAAGCCTATAGATCATTTCTATATTTCTCTTACGTTTTCAGCAGAAATACAGCCACAGCGCCCAAGCGGAAAGCATGGCCATTATTCTGCCTTCCTCAACAATATTTTACCTTTGTTTCCAAATCTATCCTCACTTGGGCTTTAATCCTAAGGCCTGCATCTTCAAAATTATGCACTATTTAAAAAGATGACAGAAAACTAATGGATGGCTCTTGGATTTAAAATGATAGCAGACATGGGGGTTTTGAAATTAGTTTACTTGTTGATTCACTTACTATTTTTTCATCTTAATTGGTGATACATAGAACGTTCCGATGTTTTGACTCTTAATTCTATCCATTGAATGTTTCATTACCTATTTTACCTGAATCTAAGATTTTCCTGTTGATGTATGAAATATCTGTGTTCCTCCTTGGATTAGTTTCCTGTGGCCATTGTGACAAATTACCATAAACCTGGTGGCTTAACACAACACTTATTCTCTCATAGCTTTGGAGTCCATAAATGCTAAATCCTCATTCACTAGACTGGCGTCAAAGTGTGGACAGGGCTGCACTCTCTCCAGAGGCTCTACAGGGAGAATTCCTTCCTTGCCCCTGCCAGTTTCTGGCGGTGGCTGGCATTCCTTGGCTTGGGGCTCTATCATCCTAGTTACTGTCTCTGTGGTCACATTGCCTTCTCTTTTTTTGGTTTGGGTCAAATTTCTTTCTGTCTCTCTTTTATAAGGTATGTATGATTGCAATTAAGACCCAACCCAATAATCCAAGATTATCTTTTCATCTCAAGATCCTTAATTTAATCACATCTGAAAGATACTTTTTCTGAACAAGGTAATATTTATAGGTTCCAGGGATTGGGACCTGATAGCTGTAGGACAGTCACCATTCAGTCTACTATACCTCTCCACCAAGTTGCAGGGACCATGGGAGCAGAGCCCTTGTATATTTTGGGTGCTCTCATTGCTTAAAATAGTGCAATGAGAATGTCTGGCACATAGCAGTCATTCACTTAGTATATGTCAGGTAAGTAATCATAATGAGTAAATTTGAAGATCTTCTTTTAGAATAGGGGAGATCTGTTTTACTCCAAAAGATAGCCAATACCACTAGTTGGGATTTATAGTGAAGGGCTTCAGTTCATCTCAGAAAGAATATTCTAATAACTAGACCTATCAGTCCACAGTTTGAGTTGCTTCATGAGGGAATAAACTCCTTGTATCTGGATGTATTCCAACAAGGTTTGTCATCTGTTAGGGAGGGATGCTACAGAGGGTATTTTAAAATTAGTTGGGAAGGTGGTAGCAGAGAGCAGTCAAGTTTGTCTTGTGTAAGTACTTTTACTTCTTATATCTAAAGAACCCTAATCTCCCGAAATTTCTAGAATTCTTCTTTAAGCATTTTGTTAAATTGTTGGCTTTATGACCACTGAAAAAGATTCCCCTAGTTTATGGCCCTGTTGTGGCTGTTTTACAGAGGTGCCACAGAAACATTTTTTTTTTTTTTTCCCATGGATCAGCTCTATGTCTCTGTAGACTGGTAACACCATACTGGAAGTTTTCAGTGCTAGCTAGCCTGAAAGAGGAATTTTTTTTTTTTCTCTTTAATTTACAAATATGGCTCGAAGTCTTCAAATCTAATTTTCAACCTGGAATCTTGCCACTGATGTATAAAATATGGTGACTAAAATAATGCAATTGGCTTGTTTCATGTAGCAACACTGCCCAAGGATGAATCCATATGCAAATAAGTGAGGTCTCTCCATCAGGGCAGTTGTCTCGAAAATTGATGATAGGAAAATGCAAAGTTTTCTTCTAAATTTCCTCTCACATGAAGCCACACACGATAATTGATCTTATGATCTTAACTAAATCGAGCTTTTGGCCAACGTAGTTGTGCCAGTTGGGATGTTTCTATATGCAAATAATGGAATTCATTGCCAAAGTGCCCCATGACAAGAAGCTTGGAAGATGGGCTGAAGCAAGTTGAGGTAGTTCCAAACATTATGTCCTCACCCAAATAATAACAGCAAGGGAAAGGAGGGGGAGATGTTGTTTCCCTGCATGTCGTCGTCGTCTTCTACTTCTTCTTCCTCTTCATCTTCTTCATCAGGGAGGGAAATCTTCTCCAGATGTTTCCCAAAGCATATCCTTTTCTGTCTCATTGGTCAGAACTGGGTCACATAATCATTTCCATTAAGGATGAGTAGAAAAGCAAATTTCTGTAACATTAACTCCCTTCATTGACAAGAAGGGGTTAAATCTGTCCTCATTAGAAACAGATTCCTCAAACGAACATTTACAAATAACTTTGCAGATCCCTTTGAGGTACTTTTTCTGATTCTCATTAACACACCTAGTAATGTAGGAAGTTGTTGTTAGTGGTGGTGGTTGGGAGTAGGGAAGGTACTGGGAACTACTACTAACTGGGTATCATGGACTAACCGTATCTACAGATGAAGAGACTAGACTCTACATAAGAAACCTGTCTAAGGTCACATGGCTAGGAAGCAATGATGCTCCAATATGGACCATCGCTAATGATGATGATGAAGATGGTAATTACATCAGTTAATATTGCGTGCTTACTAGTATATGCCAGGCATTGCGTTGTTACTTTACATTGATTACTTCATTTAATTTTCAACCTTATGATGGAGGTAGTGCCTCTGTTTTGTAGATAAGGAAACTGTGGTTCAAGGTCACACATTTAGTAAGTGTGGGTCTACGATTAGAACTCCAATGCTCCCCTTAGGGCTGGGCACTTCTTAAAACTGTACTGGTTTCCTATTCTACTTCCTACATTCTTTCCAGGACCACTGCCTCTGAGCTAGGCTTTCTGTCCCTTAAGCTCACTCATCTGTAAAATGAGATAATTCTACCTACTTTATGGGGTTCCCGCGAGGAATCAACCGTGATAATCCCTGTAAAGTAGTTAACAACGAGACAAGCATAGGAGTAAGTTGGCATTATTATTGTAGAATTTATCCTACTATCTTGAAATTTTCAGTTATGTCTTTTTACCTACCCTAATGGACTGAGATCATCCAGGACAGCAGTTCTTGTACTTTTGGGACTCAGGGCCTGTCTACACTCTTAACAAATTATTGTAGACCCCAAAGAGCTTTTGTTTATGTAAGTTATAGTTTATCATGACTGCTTTGCAATTAATACCAAGAAATGTTTGAAACTTCGTAACAAGCACACGCTTCCTTAACTGTCCGAGCAATGATATCATACACATCATGCATCCCCTGGAAAACGTACGCTCGTGAGAGAAGGAACGCAGAAAAGGCAAAAAGGTGTTTGTATTGTCATGAAGATAGTTTTGACTTTATTGGGAACCCCCCAAGGGTTTCTCGTACCACACTTTGAGAGCTGCTGTTCCAGGGTACTTGCTAGATTAATGAAACATCGGATTCTGTTCGGTCGAGAAAATCCATGGTTCGAGAGGTCAGAATAAGCGCTAGAGCTCCGTTAAACGGCAAGCCACTATCGCTGTGTCCCCGAAGGCAGCGCGATCCCGAGCAAGGTCCGCGGCGTCCACGCTCCTCTGGGGTCTCCACCCCCGGCGTCCACACCACTTTCAGAGGCCCCGCCCCAGTGCGCTGCCCCTCGCAACCGGCTTCCCGGGCGCCTGGAGACAGGCCCCGCCCACCGCCTTCCATGGCAACCGTGGCGCGCAGCCCAGGCGTCTACGCGCCCCCCCCCTCCCCCTCGGGCTAAACCATTTGCTTCAGGGATCTTCTGAGGAGGTGATGGAAACACGGGAATATGATACGACGTCTGAGAGCTCCTCAGCTTCCACTTTTCTACCTGGTTGGAACGCTATATTTTAGTTTTATGCTTCACAGCTTCCCCTGCGAGAGGAGCGCCCATCTCTCCCTGCTCGGTTCGAATGCCTCCCCCATCCCAGGCCGGCGGATGGGTCGGCTCGCCAGGGAGGCTCGCGGTCGGCGCGGGTTGGCCCAGAGGGGGGGGAGCGCGACCGACGTAGCGCGTGGGGGGGCGGGGCCGCGCTCAGGGGGGAGGGGAGGTAGGCAAGATGGCGCCCGGCGAGTGATTCACCCCAGATACGTCCAGCGGCCGCTGAGACACCGGGGCGGGGGGTCCTGCCCCCACGGTCGCCCTTCCTCCTCTCCCCCACCCCCGGAGACCCCCCACCCTTCCTCCCTCTACCTCGGGGTGGGGGTGGGGGGGCGAGCCCGGTTCCCGGGACACCATGTCGGACTCTGAGGAGGAGAGCCAGGACCGGCAACTGAAAATCGTCGTGCTGGGGGACGGCACCTCCGGGAAGGTCAGTCCTCCAGCGGGCCCGCCGTCCCCGGCCTGCAGGAACCCCGGCGCGGCCCCGGCACCCCCCTCCCCCCCAGCCTTCTCCCCGCCGCTCGGCGTCGCCTCATTACCCCAAGGGCGGGGGCCCACCTGGTCGTGTGGCCTGGGGCCAGACACGAAGTAGGCGCGGGGTGAAGGCTGACGGAGCTGTCCAGCTCCCATTAAATTAAAAAAAAAAAAAAAAAGAAAAGAAAAGAAAGAAAGAAAAAAAGAAAAAAAAAGTCACTCCCCGGCTCTCTCTGCCTGGATCTCGAACTCCTACTTCTTCAAGAGTCGGGCCAGCATCGCCCTCCTGGGAAGCTTTCCAGCTTCTCGCCTCCGACGACTGGCAGACATCTGCCAGGGCCTACTTGTTCTTCCTTTAGTCCAGGTCGCACTTTGCCTCCGCGCCCCCCACCCCCGCCCCCCAGTCTCCGCGCCCCCGGCCGCTTTACGGTTTCGGATACCAGCACTGCGTTGGCGGCTGCCAGGAACTTGGCTTTGGAGTCAGATTCCCTGGGTGCGCCTCGGGGCTCCATAGCTAACTGGTCGGGGCAGCGGAGGGCAAATTCTTAACCTGTTTGGGCTTCATCGGTCAGGTGGGTATGGAGAGGGGTCGCCTCAAAGGGTGCAGTGTGCAAATGCACATGAGATGTGAAAAGCAACGTAAAGCTTTCAGAACGCGGCGTGCACCCAATAAACGCCAGTTGCTGTTTGATGGCGTCATACCTCGTCGTCGCTGCTGCTCCTGCAGCACCTGTCCGCACAAGCATTCATTCAACAAGTACCTGGGCGCTCCTAGTGAGGGCCGGGTGCCGAGGGGTACGGCCGCTCTCCTGCCAGAGGGGATCCTTGCTTAGGGTCTAGCCTTTGGGGACGGTTGGTTGAGCCCGAATGCGTGAGAACATCCGACAGCCAGTCTCCTGGCTTGTTAGGCTGAGGCTTTTAACTCTGGGTCGTGGAGCTCCGCAAATGGTATAAAATCCTCTCTCGGTGCTTGCTCTTTGGGGAGCGTCCACGGGATCCCGAAGGGTCAGTGACTCTCCCCCAAATAAAGCGAAGAGCTGCTGCCCGCGGTGCCTTCACACCTGTCGCTTCTGTCAAAGGCGCCCACAATTTCTGGAATCTTGCTGCAGCCTGTCTCCGCTCCTCCCCTCTCCCTGTTCCCAGCCAGAGTCTGCAGAAACGCAGGTGGTTATTGTCCACCAGTGTCCGGCTTCACCGATCCGTGTGACTGGTGTAGCTCGGACCCTGGCTTCTGTGGCGACGCCTGCTCGTTGCATCTTCCCTGGCAGTTGGCCCTGCAGAGCTGCCCCTGGCTTTGTGGGATTCGAGTTCCCTGGGGCACCTGGGAGAGGTGGCATCCACATGCAAAATGTGCAGCATTCCGTTGATTTCCTTCTGCCTTCCCGGGTGGAGATTTTGTTACTGATTTTTATTGCTGAGGAAAAGCGTCCTCGTACCCTCTAATGACCTTTGAAGGTTTTGGGGAAGCAACTTTTTGAATAGTTCGACTGTTTTAAATAAATCGTCATTGTTTCTAACACTCTTATTTAATAAAAAAATTTAAGTTGTGTATTTGTATGGTTTTATTCAATTTCCTTCTGAATACCTTCTAAGCTTTCATCTCCTAAATCTTTTACAGTCAGCTCATAACTGAATTTATTTCCTGTTTCAAGTTGTAATGACAGTCTATAGCCCCAATACACTTGTTTAAAGAGACAAAAATTGCCCTTTATCCTGCATTCTATCATAAGTCTTTAAACTTTTGCTCATTTTTTTTTTCCCTCCTAGTATATATCAGTCTTCATACATGTGTGACTCAGTTGAAGTTTGTTCATCATGTTGTATCTGGGCTTTTTATTTAGCCTGCCATATGTTTTTTTTTTTTTTTTTTTCTTATTGCTAATTTAATGTGAATAATTGCAGTTTTTCATCTCTTTATAAAATTCCGTCTGGTGTAGAACAGGGCATAATTTCTCTCCCTTCCATACTGTTGAATTAGGATTATCATTCTGCTTCAGAGGGTAACAGTGGTAACTCTTTATGGTGTTCTGATTGAGTCTATCATCTCGACTAATCTATTTGGAAGCTGTAAAGGCATTTTCTGCCAGAGATCCTCAGACACAAACATCAGGAACTGAACGTTTTTTCTGTTGGTATACCAAGCTTTTTTCTCCTCCATACCCTGTCCAGCCCTCAAGTTACTGGCTGCTATCAACATCCCCATTCTGTTTCCTTTACTATCCTTTTATGAATTCGGCCTCCCTTTCATTCTTACTTGTGTCCTGATTCAACGCCTGACTGTTTTTTCTAGCATTATTTTTTCTTGTTAGTTTTAACTCCTGGCATTTAGATACACATGGACGGAGGCAGTGGAATATTGAGATAATCACTAACAGTTTCTCCAGGAGAAATATAAGCTCCTCCTCCTAATAACATGTGTTTCTATTTCTTTCTGTTTTGATTCATACTTTTCATTTTATTACACATTTCTTAAGATTCTTTTGAGGCAAAATGTTCTCTTTTGGTCCCTTTTTTTTGGTATTAGTAAATGTAATATTGGTAAAAATTATAAGCAGAAGTTCACCCCAAAGAAACCAATATAAAGAATCAGATAAAAATGTTTCAGATGTGGTAGATGATTGTTTAAGAATGATATTTATATAATGACTTGTGAGAACTTATTTGAGTATGAAAGATGCAGAAAGTCCAGAGGATTGAGGAAGTGCCTACCACTGATTCAGCCGATTCTGTTTGTCCAGAGATGGTATAAGAACACATGTTAATATTCTGTGTTCCCAGTGACCTATGCTTTTGACAGATTATACTTTATTCCAATAAAAATCCTAGCTTTACGTTTGCCTCAAAAGTGTGAGGGTAGGGCTTTCAGAATCTTGCAGTCCTGTTTCCAAGAAAAGAACCTTCGAAGTTTTCTAAATACTCATCAATGTAAAAATACTGAACTTTGAACACCCTAAATGAATGGGAAAAATTACCTTAAATGGCACGATGCTAATGCTGTATGTGCCTTGAATTTCTCTTTATCTTATAAAAGTGTATCAACCATCCCTGTGTTAAATACTTTGAAACATCTGTACTAAATAGTGGTATTTTTCTCTAAAACTATGAGCCTCTTAACAGATTTTGCACTCTAAGTTAAACAAGCTCGGTGGCATAAAAAAGCTAAATGAAAAACAAAAAGCTTTAAAAAGGAATGCTTACCTTTTTCATTCTAATCTCTTAGTTTTTATACTATTGTTCAGGGAAGCCAAATAAATTTTCATTTGGGTGTAGTGAGTTTATTTCTCAGTGCCTGGCAGAACCTCTTTCCTATGGTGCTCAATAAATATTTGACCAAATATCTTAGAAATTTATTACAAGTTCTGAGTGTTTAAATAATAAAAGAATTGGAGTGAGGGTGTGCAAATTGTTATTTGTGTGAAAAATCTGGTTCTTGTGTCAAAAGGAATTTTAGGTCTTTTTGTTTGAAGGAATTGAAATATGGCCAAGTTTTCTTTTGCATTACTGCACTTATGTCATAATTAATTATACTAAGTTATCTTTGAAATTTTATTTTAGTTTTCATTATTTTGGGAGTTGACATCTAATTTTAACTTTCAGAGTAAAAAAGGGTAATTTTCACTTAACTTTGGGAGTCTTGCTTAAAGAGCATAAAAGCTTCGTGAAGCTGCCTTTCTCCTTTTTGGTGAAGTGTACAAATAAATAGTGCATTTAATGTTTAAGAAGCCTTTAAGTTATTGAGTTATTTCACTTGTTACCAGAGTGATGATTCTACTTTGGTATGAAATGGTACTCTAGAGTTTTGAGTACAACTTTGAGTTTTTATTAAAAAAAAAAAATGTATCTATCTATCTATCTATCTATCTATCTGTTCTGGTTATAATAATCTTGTGACTTTTAATCTTTATGGTTGTTGGATTGAAAATACTTATTTTTGCCTATAATATTAGTCTCAAAAATGCTTTTTAATTTTAAAGATAAATATTATCACAGTCATTCTATAGGATCATTTTCATTTAACATCTTTAATGTAGAGAAAATTAGACATTTAAAGACCCTTTTTTGTGGGGAAAAAAGAAATTATATTAACAGTCTTTCCCCCTTTTTAATTAGTACTGCTTGTTATTGGCTGAGGGCACAAATACTCAGAATATTTAACCTCAGAAATGAAACTTAGAATTCTCTGAAATTTGTATTCAACTGATATCTATAGATATACATATCTTTAGTCGTGTTGTTTTAGTTTTCTTGTTGATATATCTCAAATTCTGATTTCCAGCAAGAAGGAGCTTGACTATCTGGGGATTTAAAGAGCTCCAACCCATTAGCCTGTTGTCCCCACTGATAGTAGTTGCAAGTGAATTTACCTGGTGGAGTGTTAAGTCCCTCCTCCCCTTGCAACTGATTAGAACTGCTTAAAGTTGCTTGTTGGATTAATGGGAGTGTAAATACTAAGATTACTTAATAAGGTTTAGTAGTGATTTTATGTTTACATTTCTAAAACAAAGACATTAATTTTGGTTTTCTATGCATCAATTTTTTAGACCTCCTTAGCTACGTGTTTTGCTCAAGAAACTTTTGGGAAACAGTACAAACAAACTATAGGGCTGGATTTCTTTTTGAGAAGGATAACACTGCCAGGTAAGAGACTAAAAAATCTTAACATAGTAAATTGTATATATCTTAAAATAAGAGACATAGGGAGACATGCAGAATAAATTTGGGGGTCGCTTCTGTGTGAAAATGTATATAATTAGCAAATCTATCTTCAGAGGTTAACTTTCATCAGCATCTACCATGAAGATGAATTGTCTATGGCCGTGAGAGAAAAGTTTATATACTCCCCTACTCTCCTGCTATTTTTGACCACTCTACACATTTTTTTGAGGATACATAATAGTTGTTTATAAAATTCTAAAAAGTTAAAAAAATCAAATGCTGTACAATTATAAACAGATATTGTATAAACTAAATGTGAAAAGACTGGAAAGGATTATTTTTTTTAAATATTATTTTGATTAGCCTCTGCTTCAGTTTTTTGTTCGAGAGAAAGTTGGAACAGAAGTATAATGTAGCTATGGAACTTCTGTGCTCTAATATGTGAATGCTGTTTTATGCAAGGCAGCATGAAATTGCTGGCATTTAATAGACCACTAAAATTTAGGGTCCCTAGGCACTCATAAAAATACAGTTTGAGCATTCAAGATGTTTCAGTTCACCATGCAAAGAAACTATTTAGATGCCAGTTGCAGCACATTTTGTGGGAAATACAGGGAAATAATAACAAAAAGAGAGTGGTTTCTGTTTTAAGTTAGTTTCTGAACAATTGGGGCTTTAAAATGCTCTGTCCATTCATTTGTAATGGTTAAATTATATGTTTAAAGTATTTTATTAAAACCAGTTTATCTTGATTGACTTTCTGAACCAGTCCATCCCTCTCCTCTCTGAGGAAACACATTTGAGTAAAAACGGTTGCAAGTATAGCGTCAGATTCATATACTGGAACATGAGTGATACAGTGGGCAGGGGTTTAATAAATTCCAATATTATTGAAATATGTTAACCTCTCAAGCGTCCCATCTATCAGACATCTCTCCGTGAAAGTTTTAGAGCAGCTAATGAAAACTCTTGGTAATTGAAGGTATTCTGCATATCTCACTGGTAATATGCTCTATTATATTTTGTGACTGAATGCAGCTACCAATGAAGAATGCATTAAAAGATACAATGCGACAAAAGATTTCCAACTTTCCATTCTAAGTTATTGTTCAGCAAGAGGCTTAATGAGAAACATATGCATCTTTTGTTTCGATTGTATTCACTTTTAATCTATTCAAAACTGAAAATCTCATTTTATTATTCTCACTAGTGTGGATAGGTCAACGCTACATTCAGAATTTTTACAGCAGTCACTAGCAGAATACATGCTCAAATCATGTAATATACATGCTGGAAGCTTATTTTTTGCAACAGTGTTTTCAGGGATGCCAATTGTACAGAGAACTTTAATATGCATATAATTATTGACAGTTTTTGATGCTAATCGGCAAAAGCATCAGCTTTCTGTACCATTAATATTAGTTTTTCTGACTTTTTTAGTTCAAAGGCTTAAATAAAGGAATAAGCACCACGCAGATATTAAGATGTTTTAAGACTGGTTTTGGACATCTTATATATATATATGTGTGTGTGTGTATATATATATATATATGTATATGATGATTTCGGATTTGTTGCATAGTGTGACCCATTTTAAAGTTTTGATGATTTTGTAAAAATACTTGGTATTTTTTGAAATCAACATTTATAGTATAATATTTTAGAGTTAGAGAGTACTTCTATTAAAAATGATGTTAGGAAATTGATAGCCCAATGAATGTGTATTTTAATATTCCTGATTAAGTTTTTATTTTGATGGGTAGAGTTCCAGAAAAAAAAAATTTTTTTTTAAGGCAGTTGGTTTTATGCTGCTTGATAGACTCAAAATATGTTAGAAATTTCAGCAGGAAAAATTATTTTAATATAACTTGATTTTATACAATTAATAGTATATTAACAAATGAGATAAGTAAATTACAAGGTTCATAGTATATCCTTTATAACTTCAACCTTAATTTTAACTGTGTCAAATGTAGAATGATTAATATTTGTATCATTAGCTAAAACATTATAGACAGCATTATTGAATTTATAGAGTGTACTAGGCAAATCTAATGTTTGTTAAGTATTCTGGTAAGTCTGTCCATTCAGATTGTTAGAGGTGTAATACCTCCTGTCCATCTATTGACATTCTCTTCATGCAAGTTTTCAAGGTCATTACTTTGTAAATATTCATCCATTTTAGTATATTCCATGTTCCGGTATGCTGTATAGTCTGGATGCAACCACTGTGCAGATTTTACTGCTTAAAATAGTGTATCTGTTAGTCAGAGATTCTGCTGATAGAGCTTCTTAAGAGCCTTAGTCAAAATACTTTCAGGAAGCTTGTGGGTACAGTCCAGTAAACAGCGTTCTACTGTGAAAAGGATTTCTAAGTCTTTAGTACAAGAAGTGGGCAGACTTGTGTTTTTAGTTCCATCTTGACTATGCAGCACTTTAAGTAAGGTTAACCAAGGCTCCAAGTGTACTTTCACAAGGTCACTGTTGAATCCTCTTGGTGGCTTTGATTCATACCAAAAGCAACTTACCTGTATTTTGTCACCTCATTTATTTTATTTTTTTCCCTGGTTACATGTCGTTTCTTACTGAGGAGCAGGAATTTTGTAGCATTTTACATTCAAGATTAGATTGCTGACAATTTCCTTAATGTTGTTAGTTGGAAATTTATGTCAGATGGATTTTTGGTTTTTAAAAATTTTGTAGTTTTGATTACTTGAATACTCATACATAGGTTATTAGGTATGTCACTTTGAAAATATACTTGGAAGCTTTATATGTTTATGTTTGGGAAAACTAAAATGAATATTAACTTGAATTTCATCCATATGTGATTTTGTTTCCCAAATAGAGGACTCTCATTTATTTTTATTTTTGTTAGTAAGCCTAAAATTCAAATGTGGAAGTTAAAAATATGTTTCTAGATACATGAAATGAGTATGAAATTAGTATCATTTGTTGAAGCTATACTGATAGCAAAAGTGTCCCCCCCCCCCAGCTTTGGCTAGCATTGTGGGTTATCAGTAATGCCTAACTATTTTTATTTCTGAGGCACTAGAATATGTATATTAAGGAAATAAGAAATAGTAAAGAAATAAGCCAACAACAACCAACACTGTTTATTTGGAAAGGTATGGATTTAAAAAATCCCTGCAACACATGAATATAAATCAAAGCTTCTTGGATGGGAGACAATTGAATAAACAATGTAGAGTCTTGAAATGATGTCGTCAGAATTTGGAAACGTGTAATGAAACTCATGTTCCTAAAGTTGTAGTTAAGGTGTTCACAATAACTAATTCAGATAGGATCTCGCTATTAGAATTTAAAGAAAGATAAGCTTTCTATTTCTTGATATAAAGTTAAGTGATAGGAGTTATTGACCTTGAAGAAAATGGGATTAAATGCCTTTTATTAAGTGTTGCCTAAAATCCTGTAAGAAAGTTAATTTTGTTAAGCACTGTTGGTTTGAAGTAAATAAATGACTGCAAGAGTGTGCAAGTAAACTGGATAGAGTACTGCCTGTTTATCTAGGGGCTTCTGAAGCTGTCTGACATAGATCTAGTGACTTCTGGCCCTTTCTCACCTGCTTAATTTGAGGCCACACCAGAGGAGAATGAGTTCAGCTTTGAATCTTGAAAAATTTAGATTTTTAAGTAAGTGGGTTTATCCCAGTTATTGGATACAGTCTTAGTTTGTGACATTTTGGTTTTCACATTCATAGAGCTTTAAGAACATTTTTGTCATTACTCTGTGAGCCTTGACGGTGTATGTGGGAATGATGACGAGTGATAAACTCCAGGAGCTCTCATTAATGCTCATGGAAGTTCCCCATGTAAATCCTTTGCCCATTGGCAGATGCAACAGACCCACCTCAAAATAATGGAAAGACTGTATTACAAACCCAACAAAACTTAGAGTCAAGGGTAAAACTTGGCTGGTTAATCCAGTGTTATACTTGCTTTTCAGTGGAATGGTGAAACTGACATTCTCCAAGTTGAGTGTTTTGCATTGGTATAAAAATTCATGTCTTTATAATCTTTTTTGTTGCTTTTGAAGCAAGACCATTTTTTGCTGTCTTTAAGTTTTTATTTTGAGTTTTCCTTATTTGCAAATCATTCAGAAAGATACATTTGTAGTATGGGAGTTCATTTTAAAGGTACTAATTGAGACTTTGTCTAACTTTGGAGAAAACTGTATGGTTTTCTTAGGAGAAACAGTTTGAAATGTTAAAAGCATGTTGGACATGGTCTTTAACTTCTGGGGTTCTGCATTGATAAGAGAATAGCTTATCTCATAAATTTTTGGATCAGCCAAATATTTTGCAAAATAGAAAAAAGAAATTTAAAGATTGCTTTTTAGTATTTTAAAATGCTTTCATTATGCTTGTGTGGGGAAGATTTACACCATTTTATGAAGGCTTCGAAGCACATGTAATAGTTTGTTTCACCGGCAATTCTTTGAACAGTTATAAATGTATCATAATATTTAGTGAAATACTGGGTATCTATCCTGTCTGTTATGAAGATAGCTATCATATGTGTTTATATTTTATAGCTTAAATTTGAAAACATGTAGTTTTAAAAAAATGTGTTTACTATTGCATATAATAGGTGACATTCAAATTTTAAAGGTCCATTAATTTGAGTTGAAACATTTTTGTACTCTATTATTAATCTATGAGTATTAGAAGCTATGGAGTTTAGATTACAGCAAAATTCATTATGTGCTATAGGGTAGGTTAGTATATACGGCTCTATTTTTATTTTTTAAGTATATTTTTTTTTACCCCACATATAAGTGCTTTATTGTTCTATTCTCTGTTTAAGGAAATTACTGTTTTTTTAAGTTTTAAGAGATTTATGAAATTAAATCTTTCTTTTGTTTTGAAGGTGATTATAAATACGGTTCTATAGAAATGGGGTAAAAGTATAAACCTAAATTCCCCCACTATAATATCTTTTGGCAGCGTTATTTCACAGTTCCAAATATCTGACCATAGGAACATGCAGAATAAAAGGCAAAATAGATTCATAGTTTATCATTGTGACTTAGTGTTCTCTGAAACTGTATTCACTTATTTTGTTACTTATCTTTTCTGCATTCTTATTTTTATATTCAAGGAAACTTGAATGTTACTCTTCAAGTTTGGGATATAGGAGGACAGACAATAGGAGGCAAGATGTTGGATAAATATATCTATGGAGCACAGGTATGACATTCTGTGATTATTCCAGTATTAAAATATCCTCTCCCAAGCACATATAGCTGGGTACACGCACGTGCACACACACACGCACACACAGACACACAGACACACAGACACACACACACACACACACACACACACACACACACACTATAACTTGATTTTTATCTGATATGTGGAGATACTGATTTTATCTTTGTGCTAATCCTTTGGTTTCATCGTCCCCAAATTATATTTGGAATGATTTGGGTCAGGGGACTGGTGTGACTGTAATACCTTTTGTATGCTTACTTATATTGTTAGGTATTATGTCAGCAGTTAAATAAATGCATGATAAGTGATATATTTATTAGCTGATTTGGTTATAGTGACTGCTTTCAGAATATTCAAACTGAATGAAAAATATAGAAGGGAAAAATTTAATTTCATTTTAAGTTGTAAGGACAAAAAGCATATTTACATATTTTTGTGCTATAAAATGGTTTACTAAATATTTATAATTCTTCAGATTTAATACATATATGAATCTATTATATGAGCAAACTAGGTATGAAAAATTATATATATGAAGCACATACAATATCTTAACATAATATATGATATCTTTTCAGAAGAAAATCTATATAGAAGGAGAAAAATCACTCAAATAATTATATAACACATTTTTTTTTGGCAACATGAGCTTATATGGACATAATTTATAAGTTGCTAAATTATTATACAAATAGAAAACGTGCATGGTAGTGATATACTTTAAGGAGTTAATTATTGACATGCTATTTAGTTTTGCTTTTTCTTCCACTCTAGTGTGTGTCTTTTACACCATCATGAAGCATTAGAGGGGGTAATAGCCATAACCCTTATTTGGTTCTCTATTGGAGTTTAATGTTTTAAGTGGGAGGATTTTACCTCGGTTATGTGGAACTATGTTTATAGGAAGTGACAAAGACAGGAGACAAAGTCAGACTGTTAAGCACTGTTCTGTATGCTGATGCTTGGCATATGCCATTGCCTTAATTTTGGATGGAAAATAGATTCTGAATTATTTTCTAAAATATTCAGTGAAAAGTACATGAAGCTCATATGGTTCTGAATCATTTGTGAAGGCCCTAGAGTATTGGTTTTTGCACTATTAATATATAGATTTGGATCTTAGAACTATTTTTTCTATGCCTTTTCTTCTGCATTGTTCTTTGTCTCCTGAAACTCTTGTTGCTTATTTAGCATTTTTCACTTGTAACGTATGACTTAATATTTTATGCGTATTCATTTTTCTTTTAAAAGATAAGTCTCAAGATTTTTGTGTCTGGCTTTTTGTTGTTTAATTTTTTCTGTTTTAAACTGATTATATTTAAAGTAGGTATTAAGCTAAAGAAAAATTTGTGGACAGAGATGTGTGGGAAGCCATAGTTGTTATTTTACTCCCCTTTTTGGTAAAATTGGTTTCGAAAATAGTAGTCTCTTTCCTCTTTGTCCATTAAAGTATACCTTCAAGGGTGCATATTGGACTTAAAAAAAAATAAATATTAGATGTGTCAAGCTTCTCATAATATTTGACTCTGAATGTCAAATAAAGTAACTTTTTATTATTTAGATTTATCTAGAGAACAGGAAATTTTATGACTCTCAGGGCAAATAATAATATGAAATTCAATTAATGAATTTTTTTTGACTTAAAAATTGAGAGAATATAGTGCTCATGATTTGGATTCTCTTAAATTTACCTTCAGATCATTACAAATTTTTTATTTGATTTATGTAAATTAATTCAGTTTATTAATATAAAATTATATATAAAACTAATGATGTGAAATTGACAGGATATAAAGTTAACCATTTTAAAAGTATGTAATCAGTGGCATTTAGTGCATTCACAATGTTTGTGGCCATTCTTTTAAATCATTTTTTTTTTACAGTGCATATTTTATGCTATTATGTAACTGCTTAAAAATCAGATATTATTGGTTAAATTTGTAGAAATTAAAAAATTTTCATCTTTTCTGAGAGGACCTGACTTCAGTAGGATGTCTTCATTCTCTTCTTATACCTCATATCTTGTGAGAAAGAGCTTGTTATATTTATATTCCTTCTTAGAACTTGTCAAATAAGATTTCTGTTTTGAAGGTACATGGGAGGTTTTTTTCCTTTGGATGGTGCCTTATATTATTTATATTTAACAATTTCTGTGAATGTTATAAGCGTATGTCTTGTTTCATTAAACAACAATGTAGTACAGTATTTCTGAGAAGTTCATGAACATTTCCATGAAATTGTGCCAGGAAATGGGGAATTCTGAGGTGATAAAATGAATTATCATAAATTAATGATAACATAGTAAATTTTCCCTGCTTTCCAGAGATTCTAAACTAAATTATGCATACATAATTTATACATATATGTATACATATATGTAATACATAAACAACATTTACTAGTAGTTTCTTTTGTAAAATATATGTAAATTAAAAAATTTTTTTAAAATGTTTATTTATTTTTGACAGAGAGAGAGAGAGAGACAGAGCATGAGTGGGGGAGGGACAGAGAGGGAGGGAGACACAGAATCCGAAGCAGGCCCCAGGCTCTGAGCTGTCAGCACAGAGCCCGACACGGGGTTCGAACTCACAGACCGCAAGATCATGACCTGAGCCGAAGTTGGATGCTCAACTGACTGGGCCACCTAGGTGCCCCAATATATGTAAATATTTTATCTAGGCCAGAGAAGCTCAGACTACAATTCACTACCATAAATTGGAGGAATGTTACTTTTTAAAAATATTCCTTTCATAAGCATTCTAAATAGTATTTTAATATACTCAATCACTTTATATCGTGTAGTCATATAATTATTGTTCAGAATGGATCTGTACTTTTTCCAGAGTTCTTGTAGATGCTTATGTTGGTTATGAATACTTTGTATTTTGGTATACATGCTACAGGATAGAAATCTTTCAGAAATGATGTTTTGACTGGCTGTTTTGAGGAAGGACATCAGTTTACTGTGTATTTAGGATTTTCTTTTAGGTTCTCTAACTTCTGTATGGTGTATGGAAAGCCTCATCTTATACATACCTGGGCTATTAAGCTAATGAATCTATTTTTCTTTTTTTTTTTTAATTTCTTTTAATGTTTATTTATTTATTTATTTATTTATTTAACATTTATTTATTTTTGAGACAGAGAGAGACAGAGCATGAACAGGGGAGGGGCAGAGAGAGAGGGAGACACAGAATCTGAAATGGGCTCCAGGCTCTGAGCTGTCAGCACAGAGCCTGACGCGGGGCTCGAACTCACGGTCCGTGAGATCATGACTTGAGCTGACGTCAGACGCTTAACCGACTGAGCCACTCAGGCGCCTCAATGTTTATTTATTTTTTGAGAGAGAGAGAGAGAGAGAGAGAGAGAGAGAGACACCGAGACACCGAGACACCGAGTATGAGCGGGGGAGGGGCAGACAGAGAGGGAGACACCGAATCCGATAAGCTCCAGGCTCTGAGCTGTCAGCACAGAGCCGACTCAGGGCTCGAACTCACTAACCATGAGACCATGACCTGAGCTGAAGTTGGACGCTCAACCGACTAAGCCGCCCAGGCGCCCCTTGAATCGATTTTTCTGAAAACATTTCTTAACATCAGAAAGAGGTTTACTTGTAGGCTGGGAATGAACTTAGATTCAAATGGAACTGATTATTTCACCCTGTTCACATTTTTCCCCTAGTAGCATTAAACTTCAGCAATCATCTGTTGAACAGTGTTGGTTGAAACAAAATTGGATTGACACCCAAGAAAGAATTAATGAGGTATTTTGACAAGAACTAGTTCTAAGAATTGAAGTATTTCCCAGTTAAATTCCCAGATTTTAAATTAACTTAAAATTTTCTAGGAGTCTTCAGAAAGATGTTATAGGCTATTTTTCATAGTGGTTACGAGCAAACACACAGTACATAGTGTTTAGTGCCCTGTAACCTGTGGCTAACAGAGGCTAATAACAAACCTCAGAGAAGGACTGGGTGTTTCATTTTTGTAGCTCTTTCCGTCCTGGAATCTAAGTGGTTTGCAAACACTGCCCTACTGAGCATAAACTCAATGAAGTGTAGTCACTTGTAAGGCAGAACATAACTACTATTGTGTGCCAGTGCCCCCCACAGATGAGCTTGCCTGTTAACCAGCTACAAAAGGATTTGGTTGCCTGGATGGCAGCTGGGGAGAGAGCGCATCTCAAAGCTGGACTCTCTGAGACCCTCTGCTGTCTTTTACTATGCATTTTTAGTTGGCTATTTGCCAGCTTAGAACTGATTATACACCTTTCTTGGATTAGTGTTCCTTCTTACACAGCAAAGTATGTGTTGTTAGGACTGTGGTATAATCTGTATGATCTAATCCATTTCTGCGTATAAAAGGCTACTGTAGATTATTTGTCATACAAATCAGGGAGAAAAAAATACCTGCTTTGTGGGATTTGGGACCCTTTCACTTTTGGGAAGGTTAAATTGTGTACGTACTGTGTGGGTTGAATTTTAGAACTAAATCTATGGAGTCACCTACAGGACTTAAATGTTGCCACCAGTGCTCACGTTTCCTTGAAGACTTCAGTGTTCCTTGGAGAATGGTTTCTGCCTGGTTAATGACTCGTCATGTTCATCAGATATGATGATCAGTAGAGAGATGAAAACAGAGTGCTGTGTGAAGAGACTTTATGTAATGTTTACCAAAAGTGTTGAGGTTTATGAAGAGAAGGGTGATAGTATCTTCTGGGGAATTGTAGGTGGAAAAAGTGAAGTGAAGGCATAGAAAATATAGGGAATTTTTGTTGAAGAATTTGAAACTATAGAAGAATGTATTAAACTTGAAATCTGATTTCCAAAAGTCCTATCAAAAACGAAGAGGAGCAGTTGGAGGGTAAGATGGGAAGAGCAAGCATGGGGCAGTGTGGGGAAAAGATGGAAAAAGATGAATGGTAGATAGGAGGGTGATAAAAGCCCATCAGGGACAAGAGACGTGATGATGGATTTCGATGGCCGCCAGCTTGCCAAGAAAATGACTTCCAGCAGTTCCTGGTAGATTCTTCATGGGTTTTCCCTGTTGCCAAGATGTGTTGCATTTCTG